TCACCTTCTTTGATGTATGTCAGTTTAATTGGGTTTAGTGGTTTTTGCTTATATTTATATGGTTTTGAAGTTTTCTTTTGCAGTCCTGATCCAGTTTTCTTTTAAAAAAATTAAAGAAATCAGCCTGTAAATTTGGGTACCCGTTCGGATTCGGATCAACTTTTTCGGTTAATCGGATTTTAAAATTAGGATCCATTCGGGTACTACAAAATTTTGACCCGGGTCCTCCCGGATCCGGGTGAGTTTGGTTCTGATGTTTAGGAACCTGAAAATAACCGAATAACCAATGTATCTGAAATGGGTTCAGATATTTATGTAAGCTCAAGAATTTGGAGCTTGAGAAATTGCTGCAGTGGTGGAGTTTTGGTTCGTGTACTGTGTTACACATGGAGAGTAATGTGTTACACACGGTGCGGCGAATAAAAAAGAGAAACATCAAGATGCGACGATATGGAATATTTCTATATGTTTGGTTGACGAAATTAGAAGATATATGATGCTAAAATATAAGAAAATAATATATTAGATAGTAAGAAAAGATTATGTAATATATATTTTAGCTTTTACCTGATTGGGAATTAGGGCTTTTGTTGTTATAATCCTCAGAGGGAAACACAAAGGGTTTTGGGGTTTCATAGCTGAGTGAATTGGTAGACTTGATCAACAGGTGTTGAATCAAGCAAGTTGGGTGTGTTAGGAATCGATCCGTGTCGAGTCGTGTAATTCGGATCAAGAAAGTCTATAAGAGATTGTATAAAGGATTTCTAATAAGAGATAAGTGTTTTTGGAATTACGTTGTGTCTTATGTTTTTCGCTGTATTCGATTCTACAATTGGTATCAGAGCATGACACCTAAACGAAGAAGAGTTCTTCGAACCAAGGTGAGATCCTGAGAAGAGAATAAGGCGATTTTAACACATAATATGTTTCTGCTGAATGATGTGAATTATGGATACTGGAAAGTGAGAATGAGAGCAATTTTACGTGGAACTGATGAAGATACCTGGACAGTTGTTCAATCTGGATGGGAAGAACCATATGTGATGCTAGAAGATGGTTTGAAGTGACCTAAACCAAAGAAAAAGTGGACTGCAACAGAGAAAAAGATTACAAAGTTTAATGCAAAAGCATTGGATACAACCTTCAGTTCCGTAGATGGTAAGCAATTTGAGCTAATACAAGGATGTGAATCAGCTACAGAAGCTTGGGATATACTACAAAACACCTTTGAGGGTACTGTGAATGTTAGAAGGATAAAATTGGACTTGCTTGCATCTCAGTTTGAAAACATAAGGATGGTTGATGATGACAAGATAGGAGACTTCAGAGCCAAGCTCAGCTCCATAGCCAATGAAGCACAAGTTTTAGGTAAAAAGTATGAAGATGCAAAATTGGTGAAGAAACTATTGTGATGTTTACCTACAAAGTTTGCAGCACATAAAGCAGCGATAACCATGACAAGGAACACTGATAAACTGAAGTTCGCAGAGGTAGTAGGAATTTTAAAGGCTGAGGAGATGGAATTAGATTCTAAGGTTTCATAGCCTGCTCAAAATTCAAGAATTTCAGTTGATGGGGAAGACATCTAAAGAGCTCAAAAACTTGAAGAATCTATCCACCTAATGATTCAGAAACTTGAAGAAACCATGGATCTTTTGCATAAGATGTCCAACAACGAACTGCCTAGAGAAGAAGAAAGACATAGTATGCAGGAAATATTGTGTGTTAATTGTCATGGTATTGGACATGTCAAAACAGATTGTCCATCATACAAGAGAAAAGAAATCAAGTATAATGGATGTAATGGTTATGAGCACATAAAATCAGATTGTGTAAACACAAAGAAGATGAAGATGAAGAGAAGTTGTAGTGATAAAAAGTCAGAAGGAAAGGAAGATGCTCTCATTTTTGTGGCTCTTCATGGAGTAATAGGATCTGAAAAAGACATCACTAAAGGTGAAAATCGTGTGTCGTCTGTGTCACACACCAATTCTGATGCGTCAAAAAGTGATACATAAAGTGATTTAAATGCAGATCTTTTTGCTGAGTATCAGGTTCTCTTTGGTCAATTTGCTAAACTCAGTGAAGAAAATATGCAGCTGGAAGCACAATGGAACATTCTAAAGTCCAAAAATAACAATAAATCAGAGACTTGGATATCACAAGAAGAGAAGGAGTTTGATCTACACAGTTTATAGAAGACAATCTCTGAGCAGGCCTACAATCTAAAGAGCGTGGAGACCAATTATGAGCAGACGAAACAACTACTGAATAAGGAACTCGAGAAAAGTTAGTTGCTGCAAAGTAAACTCGGTGAAAATTACAAAAAGTTAAGGATGTTGAATAAAGGATCTGAAAATTTAGATCATATTTTATCACTTGGACAATATCCAAAGGTGAACTGGGGTTTAGGTTACAAGGGTGCTTCTCCAAAAAATCAAGCTAGTCCAGTTAATAGTATCAAGTTTGAAAAAGGTACTGCTTCTCACCCTGAAAGTAGCTCAAAAGTTGAGAAAACACATACATTTACACCTGTGGAAAAGGAACATAAGGCTCAGACAAAAGTTCACCCTCCCAAACCTGCAATAACTCGGAGGAATGGATGTTTAATTTGTGGGAATCACGGTCATAAAGTTTCTTTATGTTATTCTCAGAGAAACTAGACTGAGAAAGCTTGGAGGATGATCCTTTCTTATGTGGAACCCAGAAGGTATGGATATGTATGGATAGCTAAGAAGGATATGTATCCTAAGTTTACGAAATGTGTGTCACATGAGCATATCAGTGTGTCATACGCTCGAATGGATGATCAATATACTGAGCTTGAAGAAGCAGTTCGATGGTCTAGGAGGTATTGAGAGTTTTGATGGTCCAACAAGTATCATGAAGTTTTCGCAGAGTTTTTCACTCAAGTAGGGGGCGATGATACTTGATATCAAGGGAAGTTTGAAATTTATTTTTATGGGATGTATGACATTATGCTTAGAGGTTAGTGAGCTTGAGTTGTAAAACTCAGTGAAAAAGAGGGAGAATGTAAGTTCAAGAATTTGGAGCTTGAGAAATTGCTGCAGTGGTGGAATTTTGGTTCGTGTACTGTGTTACACATGGAGAGTAATGTGTTACACACACTTCGGAGAATAAAAAGGAAAATATCAAGATGTGGTGATGTGGAATATTTCTATATGTTTGGTTGAAGAAATTAGAAGATTTATGATGCTAAAATATAGAAAAATAATACAATTAGATAGTAGGAATAGATTATTTAATATATATTTTGGCTTTTACCTAATTGGGGATTAGGGCTTTTGCCGTTGTAATTCTCAAAAGGAAACACAAAGGGTTTTGGGGTTTCATAGCTGAGTGAATTGGTAGATTTGATCAATATGTGTTGAATCAAGCAAGTTGGGTGTGTTAGGAATCGATCCGTGTCGAGTCGTGTAATTCGGATCAAGCAAGTCTATAAGAGATTGTATAAAGGATTTCTAATAAGAGATAAGTGTTTTTGGAATTATATGTTGTGTCTTGTGTTTTTTTGATGTATCTCGATTCTACAATTTATATCCAAAATAACCATATTATTCTATTCGATTTAGATATTTTGTATCCAAACTACTGAAAGTACAAAAAAATAACCATAAATAATCATTTAACATTTTTTTGTTTGAGTATTTCTATCCAAACGATCTTATTTTATCGGAAAATACACAAAATTATTAAAAATAACTAATATACTTAATTTATAGTTTAAGTTCATATTATTTAACTAATTATAAGTATAACTATAACTAATAATTTTAGATACATATTTATATTTTGGATATTCATTCGGTTCTCGGTTCGGAACATGTTCAGTACCAATTTTTGAATATAGCAATATGGACCCATTCGATTATTTACCCTATGTCTGATGAGGTTCAGGTAGAGATGGCAATCATGGATCTGGACCGCGGGCCTAGCCCGTAAAGAACTGTCGCGGGATAGTATTGGGACGAGGTTTTCTAGGTCCGCAATTTGCGGGCCTCGTGGGATGGTTCTTTGCGGGAATGCGTCTTTTGGGGGATGGGCCGAAACGGGTCCCGCGGGATTACAAGGATCTGCATTTTTTCTTTATTTTTTTGTTTTACCTGAAAAAAAACGAGAGAATGAGTGAGAAGAAGACGATTCATATGAATTCCCTTGAGAAAACGTAAAGAGCTTGGGCGATGATGATGATTCGAGCTTCGGTGATAATGATTTGAGCTCTGTTGATGACGACTACAGCTCTGGCAATGACGATTCGGGCTTTAGTAGTGTTTTGATTTGGTTTCTCTTTTTATTCAATTTGGGATTGATATTTTTGTTGGTGTTTCATTTTATTTAATTTTTGGATTCAACAAACTAAAACATTGTATGAACTTATGAGTTATAAGATAATGAAAAATATCCTCTGTAATTATTTTTACTTTGTATGTTAATATGGTTTGGGTGTGATACAAATAATTATAATTATTGTTTTGAATAAAAAATAAGCAAAGCAATGATTGATGAATTAGGTCTAGTTGAATCGACAACTTGATCTATGTCCTATAACAGCTTGAAGCGTTTTGGAGTGGCCTAAATCGTTTTGTTGTGCGTATTATCACATGTCCCGCGGGACGGTCCGCAAAAGCCTACAAGAAATGCGGTACGGGATTGAGTAGCTGTTTTCAAGACTGCATCCTGTATGGGACAGGTCTGCCGCGTTCCATTAGAAGACGAACCCGCAGCGGTCCGAGACGAAATGGGACGGGGGAGCCCAGTTACCATCTCTAGGGTTTTTTTTTTTTGAACAAAACCATCTCTAGGTTTAGGATCCTAATTTTTGGGTCAATTTTGGGTAGATTCTTCGGATTTGGATATTTTGCAGAGTCAATGAGAGATTTACATTGTTTGGTTTCTTCAAGAAGGTGAAAAACACTTTTTCTAAAAAAAAAAAAAGAAATAGATGGACAATATCAGCAGTTTTGTCTGTTTTTATGTTCTTCCACCGGGTGCCTAATCCCTTCCTCTTCGAAAAATAAAACCCCAACTAGCGCTCAAGATTACAGAGATCGTAATTGGACATAGGTTAGGGTTTCGAAGGATGTGCTCGTCGACGATTCAGTTCTCGCTCTTGCAATCACTATCTCGCCCCTCCTCGCCATTTTCACCCAACCTTGAACCTAAACTCTCTACTTCCTCGGTGAGCTTCCCACTGAAGATGAAGTCGTCGAGAATTTGCAGTAAAAGTATGGTTCTGAGAGTTAAGGCTTCAAATAATCAGCCGTTCGATTCCTCTGCAGAGTTCACACCGCCCAGTGGCAATCTGGTAAAATACTAATTTTGGGTTTCGTTGTCTCTTTGCTGTTCAGAAACCTAATTTCGATGACTGGTTTTTTACTTTGGATAAGCCCAAAACCAGGAGGGATATTTTGCTGGAGTATGTTCAGAATGTGAAACCCGAGTTTATGGAGTTGTTCGTTAAACGCGCGCCTAAACATGTAAGCTTCTACTTTATTTTGAATCAAAAGAACATTTTAAGAGGTAGAGCTTGTAATGTGATATCAGGTGGTTGATGCAATGCGACATACTGTGACTAATATGATTGGAACGCTACCTCCCCAGTTTTTCGCCGTTACAGTCACCTCTGTGAGTGCTTTTATTTTATTTTTGTAATCATACGTTTCATTAGCTCTGTCGTGTGTTTGTATTGATGGGATTTTTGGTTATTAGGTTGCTGAAAACCTTGCACAGTTGATGATGAGCGTATTGATGACCGGATATATGTTCAGAAACGCTCAATATCGTCTTGAATTGCAACAAAGTTTAGAGCAGGTTGCTCTTCCTGAGCCACGTGATAAACGGGTAACATTTTCAGGTTTTGTTTTTCTTCGGTAGCTTGCTTTTTCTAGAGAATTTTTACTTGGCCTGTAAATGTGTAAAGGTTGATGGGACTTAGATGTTTTAGCCTAGTGTAGGAGCATTGTAATTACTCCAAGCTGGATTATGTGCGTGTTTAATCTGTAAAAATTATAAGTGATTCTGGTTTATCAATTCTGATTAAGTCAGGGGGATGATCAAGACTATGCACCTGGAACTCAAAAGAATGTATCAGGGGAGGTGATCAGATGGAATAACATTTCTGGTCCCGAGAAAATTGATGCGAAAAAGTATATCGAGCTTCTGGAAGCAGAGATCGAAGAACTCAACCGTCAAGTAGGGAGAAAATCTGCGAATGAGCAGAACGAAATTTTGGAGTATCTAAAATCTCTCGAGCCTCAAAATCTTAAGGCATGAGAAGAACTAATGTACTTTTTTCTCCATCAAATAATCTTCTTTTCTCAGTTTTAATACTTTGAAATTCGATAGGAGCTTACAAGCACTGCAGGCGAAGATGTTGCTGTGGCTATGAATACATTTATCAAGCGGCTTCTAGCTGTGTCGGACACAGATCCAAAGCAAATGAAGGTTTTCTCTTCTTTAGCTAAATATTTGTTGTTTGTTTTCTTTGGTTATATAACGTGACTGATATCAATGGCTTGGTGGCTACACAGACGAATGTGACAGAGACCAGCGCAGCGGACCTTGCAAAATTGCTGTATTGGCTAATGGTGGTTGGTTATAGCATTCGCAATATCGAGGTCCGGTTTGATATGGAACGTGTGCTTGGTACTCATGCGAAGCTCGCAGAGTTGCCTCCTGGTGAAATTATTTGAAAACCCGGAGCTTTTTCTTTTTTTTTCCAAAAGAACACAGATTTCTGATTGTTATTTTCGAATTTATCAAACTTAATTTTCGGATTACAACTGTGTGACATCGGTTTGTCGATGATTAAAAGAAATTGATTTGGTTATTTATGCTTCTAAAATACTTACCTTTTTGGTTATAAATCATTGATTATGTAAAATTAAATGTATTTAGCTGGATAAGTGATTTATATTCGTGATTCAAGATATTACTTGCACTCGCATAATAACTTCACACATGCACACTGTATGCCTCCTCCAATGATGAATCATGCCATCTCACCTGGTATCCACATAACCCAACAAGTAATGATGTAACCCCTGAAAAGTATTGCTCTCCATCACGTTCCACCGACAACCACATAGGTATTAAGCCCTTCTTTAACTCTTATGACTTCACACTCGTTTGAACTTGGCTTTAATATCACTTGTAATATCTCGCATGTGGCTAACAAGCTTCCCACCTCCATTCACTGTCCTTGAACCCATTCCATAGGAGCAGATGATGCGTTAATTTTTAAAAGTTTATCCCAATTTCGTGGCAAATCACATGTAAACGGATTAAGGTAAAATGCGTGAAGGTTTTGAACTCATGGAGATCGAATGAGGTGAGGTGGTAAGAGCTCATGCGAAAACATGAGGAGAGTGTGGACTAAAGAGGTGACGTGGTTTCAGGTTGGAACCGTCGAAGTTTATCCTCGTTACTTATTGTTTGTTCTTGGTTTAGTAGATGTTCTAGATAGATCCTTTGCTATGTTGTATGGTGATTGTTATAGGTATTGAGGATATAAAATCCATGCGACAGGCCATACGACATAATGAAGCCTTGATCATAAAGGCCCAATCTGAACTGAAGAACAAAGACAAGTTAAAGTCTTTTGTCGTCTTCCTTAGGTGCTCTCAACGGTAAGATTATAGGCAGACAAAGTACAGAAAGACTGAAAAATCAAATCCAGCTACACAACGGATTTGAAACTTTTGGATCTTATGTTGTGACGTGTCATTAGATTACATGAGCTGTGTGCTTTAGGGTTTCTGTACCTATCTATATAAGTCATTGGCTACTCTTTGTAAACTCAAGTTGAAAACATAACAAAAGTTTCCTCTTTATTTCCGTCGTTGTTAGTATTATTACATGGTATCAGAGCTCCAGTCGATCCATGGCTGCAGCTCCTGATCCTGTTCCCAATGTGGTTCTCACAATCAACCAATGTGTTACGTTAAAGCTTAGCTCGACAAACTACCTTCTTTGGAAACTTCAGTTCGAGACTTGGCTAACCAGTCAGACACTTCTGGGTCATGTTACCGGTGGAACACCACGACCTACCCCTACCATTCAGATCCGAACATGCAACGTCTTGGAAGAAGCGTCAAACCCAGATCTTGTCAAATGGATTCATGATGATCAAAAGATAATGGCTTAGTTCTTTGATATCTTGTCAGAAGACGCTTTGAGATCTGTTTACGGACTTCAGACTGCACAAGAGGTATGGTTTTCTCTTACTAAGAAGTATAATCGCATCTCTGCTTCTAGGAAGTGTTACCTCCAACGAAAGCTCCAGTCTGTGTCAAAACAAAGCAAAACGCTTTCCGGTTATCTTAGTGAAGTGAAGCTTATCTGTGATCAGTTAGACTCGATAGGATGTCCTGTACCTGAGAATGAGAAGATATATGGAGTGTTGAATGGCTTAGGACAGGAGTACGAGTCGATTGTTGTTGTTATTGAGAATGCTCTAGACTCTCATCTAGGGTTAACGTTTGATGATGTGGAGATTAAGCTCATCAATTTTGATGAAAAGATCCAAGTTTATGCTGCCAACACAACATTATCTCCACATCAGGCGTTTAACATTGAACGAGTTTATACCAACCGCGGACGTGGCTGTTCTTCCAGAGGACGTGGTTACTACTCTATACGAGGAAGATGTTTCCCTCAACAGATTAACATTGGATATGCTACTGGAAACAACACACGTCCAACATGTCAGATCTGTCACAAGTTTGGTCACTCTTCCTACAAATGTTACAAGCGTTTTGATCATGCTTACCAGCCGGAAGATTACACAAATGATCTTGTTGCAATCAGACTTTCAGAGGGCTCAGTTCAGTCAGGTCAAGAGTGGTATGCAGACTCTGGAGCTACATCTCACATTGCCAACTCATCTGCAAGCCTTCAGTCTGCGCATCCTTACCAAGGAGATGACTCTGCTATTGTTGGCAACGGTGAGTTTCTTCCTATAACTCATATTAGCTCTTCTGTTCTTTCCAATACACAAGGTAATATCCATTTATTAGATGTACTTGTGTGCCTTGGAATAACAAAATCATTTCTCTCTGCGTCCAAACTCATGGTTGATTTTCCTTGTGCTTTTGAGTTTGATTCTGATGGTGTGATTGTGAAGGACAAGCAGACGCAACAGCTCCTCACCAAAGGAAGCAGGCGTAAGGACATGTATATGTTGGAGAATTCAAAGTTTTTGGCTTACTACTCTACGAGGCAGCAAGTTACAAGTGATGAGGTGTGGCATATGCGGCTTGGTTATCTTCACAAGGAGATTCTTTAATATTTGGTTTCACAGAAAGCTATTTTAGTGAATAAGTCAAGCTCTCATATGTGTGATGCTTGTAGAATGGGAAAATCTACTAGACTTCCTTTTGTTTCTTCTGAGTTTGTTGCAAATAAGTGCTTAGAGCGCATACACTACGACCTATGGGTCCATCACCTGTAATTTCAACTCAAGAATTTTGTTATTATGTGATTTTGATCGATAATTACTCCAAATATGCTTGGTTTTATCCCTTGAAGCTCAAGTCTGATTTCATGTCTGTTTTTCTTGGGTTTCAAACAATGGTGGAGAATCAGTTTAACACTAATATCCAGAGTCTGCAACACTTGTCTCAGTGTAGAATTTGTCAGCTGCTGTCTTGTCCACACACTCCCCAGCAAAACGGTCTTGCTGAAAGAAAGAACCGTAGCATCAAAGAGTTGGGATTCACACTTATGTTTCAAAGTAAAGTTCCTCAGTTCTTGTGGGTAGAAGCCTTCTTTAGGGCCAACTATCTTACCAATCTGCTTCCATCTTCGGTGTTACCAAACAATATGAGTCCTTATGAAGTTCTCATGCAACAAGCTCATGTGTATACACCCCTACAGATCTTTGGATGCAAATGCTTTCCTCATCTCAAGCCGTATGACAAACTGGATCCGAAGTTCCTCCCTTGTGTGTTTCTTGGTTACAATGATAAATACAAGGGATATAAGTGTTATCACCCTCCTACAAAGACTGTGTACATCTCTCGTCATGTGTTGTTTGATGAGCAAGTATTCCCCTATACTGATCTTTACAGACAATACTGTGATTCTCCTACCACGCCTTTACTGTCTGCTTGGTACTCTAGTTACACTCAAGAAGAAGCTCCGCCTCATGAGGAGTTCTCCATTCCTCCTCCTGATGTTCTAGAACAAGTTGATGTTGTCGTTCCTGTGGTCACTGACACATCTCAACCCAAACCTTTGTTCAATGACGATGACTTCCCACCTCTCATTCCCACTCCAAGCCCATCTCCCAGTCTTGTCCCACATGTTTCTCTAGTTTAAGCTCCTGCTCCTCAACCTGTACTTCCCTATGCTCATCCAATGACAAAAAAAAAGCTAAGCTTGAGATTCGTAAACCAAATCCTAAGTATGCTTTGCTCAATGTCAAGTCAAGCTATCAAGTTCCACGAACAACAAAGCTTGCTTTACAGGAAAAAGGTTGGAATAGTGCAATGGGAACAGAGATGGAGAATCACAAAATAGGTCACACTTGGGATCTTGTGCCTCCTTCTAACGATGTACAGCTTCTCCACTGTGGTTGGGTTCACCGAGTTAAATTATGTTCAGATGGGTCTCTGGACAAGTTGAAGTCTAGGTTGGTTGCTCATGGCAATGAACATGAAGAAGGTATTGATTACCTTGAAACATTCAATCTTGTGATACGTGTGGCTACCATTAGAACAGTCATGCATGTTGCAACGGTGAAAAGATGGTCGATCAAACAGTTGGATGTTCAACATGCGTTTTTTATGGTGATTTAAAAGAGAATGTATATATGCAACAGTCACCAGGATTTGAAGATCCTATGCGTCCTCACTATGTTTGTAAGTTGAGAAAAACTATCTACGGATTAAAACAAGCCCCTCGTGCTTGGTTTGACAAATTTAGTTCCTTCTTACTCGAATTTGGCTTCAAATGCACAACGAGGGATCCTTCTCTGTTTGTCTACTTGGATGGTAAAAACACAATGTATCTTCTGCTTTATGTCGATGATATGCTCCTCACTGGCAGTAACAATGAGTTGGTTCAACATCTTCTCAGTAAACTGAGTGAAGAATTTCGTATGAAAGACATGGGATCTCTGCAGTACTTCTTTAGTCTTCAGACTACCTTTCATATCAATGGAGTGTTCCTATGTCAAGAGAATTACAATACTGATCTGTTGAGTGCTGCAAGAATGAAAGATTACAGTCCAGTTTCCACTCCTCTGCCTATACGTCATGATAAGGTACTTGGACAAGAAGATATCTTTCCTGATCCTTCTTATTTTCGAAGTTTAGCAGGGAAATTACAATATATGACACTCACTAGATCGGACATACACTATGCGGTCAACTTCGTGTGTCAGAAAATGCATGCTCCTTCGAAGGCAGATTTTACCAACCTCAAACGCATACTAAGATATTTAAAATGTACTCCGCATCTCAGAATCAAGCTTACAAGAGACACATATCTCACTCTTCGTGCCTATAGCGACAGTGATTGGGCTGGCTGCAAAGACACCAGGAGATCTACGGGAGGTTTTTGCTCCTTTCCTGGCCGTAATATTATATCTTGGTCTGCAAAGCGTCATCCCACTGTCTCTCACTCATCAGCTGAAGCGGAGTACCGCACCATGTCTTATGCTGCCGAAGAGTTGATTTGGATTACATTGCTACTTGGTGAGATGGGGCTCTCTCAAACGGTTACACCTGAGTTGTATTGTGACAACTTATCAGCTTGCTATCTTACGGCAAACCCTACTTTGCACAACAGAACTAAAAGCTTTGATACCGACTTTCACTATGTCAGAGAAAGAGTAGACCTTGGTGCCTTGACAGTCAAGCAAGTTCCTGCTTCTACTCAGCTTGCCGACATCTTTACGAAACCCCTGCCTCAACGTGCTTACTCTGATCTTCGTTTCAAAGTTGGCGTTGAGCTTCCTCCCACACCAACTTTGAGGGGGTGTATTGAGGATGCAAGGCCCATGCGACAGCCCATACAACATAATGAAGTCTTGATCATAAAGGCCCAATTTGAGCTGAAGAATAAAGACAAGTTAAGTCTCTTGTCATCTTCCTTAGGTGCTCTCAACGGTAAGATCATATGCAGTCAAAGTACAGAAAGACTGAGGAATCAAATCCAGCTACACAACAGATTTTGAGCTTTTGGATCTTGTGCTGTGACGTGTCATTAGATTACATGAGCTATGTGCTTTAGGGTTTCTGTACCTATCTATATAAGCCATTGGCTACTCTCTGTAAACTCAAGTTGAAAACATAATAAAAGTTTTCTCTTCATTTCTGTCGTTGTTAGTATTATTATAATAGGATGATTTCTGAGACTTCTAGAACCCATTTTTATTCCTTTTCCTTTTTAAGGTTCAATTCATATTGGTAGTTTTTGTCTAATACATTTTTGAAACCTACTTCGCTGAAAGATATGTTATTTCATCCTATGTGGTTGAAGGCAAGTATCATGATATCGCCTTTGTTGAATCGAAGTGGCACAAGGTATATGGAGAATCAACATTTATTTGGAATCTCAACCATAAACATCTCCCTCTCTCTTAGTCATGTTATTTATCTACTGTTTTATGTTTAATAATAATAATCTTGTATGAGAATCGAAAGATGTGTCATTAATTTCCACTCAGCTTATGCCTATTTGTCAAATTCAATGGAACAATTCTAGTATTTTCTCTATTCAGGGATTATGTAATGATTAGTGTTTAACATCTCTTGAATCTTTCTCATGTATCGTGTTGTGTATCAACCGTTTTGTTCAGTAATAATCTTATATGAGAATCAGTGCATGTGTTATTTCCATTCAACTTATGCTCCCATTCGTTAAATTCAATGGAATAATTGTGGTATTGTCCTGTTGCAGAAAAGAAAAATAATAATTGTGGTATTGTCGTTCCCCTTCAGCTATGTTATATGTCAATCGTATACCTTCTGCTTGGCTCTCTGAACCGATAGGATAAGTATGTAATGATTATTGTTAAAAAAATATGTTGAACCGATACGACTTCTCTCCACCACAACTCCTCCGCTTCCTCGCTTCGCCGTCGTCACTCTTTCAGTTCCTTCCATCATCGCAACACCTCCTCCTCATTCCAGATCCACCACCGGAGCTCCATACGCCGCAAGCCACCACCATTACCACCGCCCTCCACACAGCCGTCAACAACTCTTCAGCTCAGCTCGTAGTCGCCCCCATTCCTAACCGCGTCCTTGTCGTAGCTCCTCTCAGCGAAAACGCCAGATCTATTAAAAAAGCTCACCAGATATGCTCTCACTGACCTTCCCATCCTCACTGTGTTGACTCCTTCAACACTCTCAAGTAGACACTCTTCCAGATCCAAGCCGGGTCCTCAGCAACAACGAAATCTTCATGGGCTGGATCGACGATTCTCACCGGACGTGGCGAGTTGATTTCGTCATTGTTCTCTAGAGTATTTGATACGGCCACCACCCGATGCTCTGCTCCTGTCACCCAACAATGACTCAAGCGCTTTCAGTTTGATTGGATTAGTGGATTGTTTGGCCAGATGTATTTTGGTAATACTTTACTGGTCCCGACACGGTAATCTCGAGGTTCGAAGTGTAGAATTGAGTTAAATGTCCACTCCACCACAAAAGTTCAATACTTTCAGAGTCTCTATGAAGATGAAGATGTCTCTTTATCAGATTTTTCAATCGATACGACCAGGATTCACTTAGCCCAAAGTAGTGATGTTGTGATCAAGTTAAAGATTGAGTATTTGCATTGTGTATACACACAAAACCACCAAATTAGGTATATACCATATTTCCCTTTTATCTCTCTCCTCCCCACTTACCACTTTTTCCCCCTCTTTTATGGTATCTCAGTATCTACAAGGTATTTAGCTAATTCACCCTTAAAGATTCTATTTGTTCAGCCATCACAGGTCAGTAAAGTGTGTAGTTCCTCTATTCTTGTAACTAGCACTATTTGGTTCCATGGTTCATCCACTTTGTTCGTCTGCACCAAATCCATGATTTTTATATGCGATATTTCTGTTGAGATTCACCTAGTCTCTTCGGGGAGCCTTCTCGTCGGAGCTAGAGCTTTTCTTGCTCGTTTCGCCTCATGCCAAACTTTTCTGTTTGGTCAATTCAACGTCGATTTCGATTATTCTGTGCTCGTGGTAGTAACCTATTTAGGGATGCATTCGATGATATCCTATGGTTCTCCTGTTGTCGAGCAAGTATCTATGTTCTTTTTCTGCATTATGTTTTTCATCAAACTGTTGAGGATCCGTCCGGTTATTATATTTTTACCGTTGAGCATAGCTCCGGATGTAATCGATTAGACTTTTTATTTTAATATAATTGACAAAAAAAAAGGAACAAGGCTGGGGCTAGGCCCAATGGGTTTCATCCGTTTCAGTGGCACAAAGTGAAACGACCGAAAAAGAGAGAGAGACAAAGTACTAAGGATTTTCGAAGGAAAACAACAAAATTCGCTTCTCTGTTTAGCTGAAAGATCAACCATGGAATCTACCGCCCTAAGCTCTGCGGCCACCATCGTCTCTTCGTCGCTATCCATCTTCTCTCCAAAGAAGAGAACAAACTCATCTTCGCCGAGAATCGTCCGGCTTTCAAAGAGTAAACAAACTTACGCATAACTTCGCTATTTCATGCTTCGATCATTTATTCCTTCTCTTCTTTTTTTTTTAATCCAGAGGACGACAAAGATTATGATCCCAAATTGGAATCGGATTCATTGAGCCTTGTGCCTCTGTTCCAAAATCGAACTCTCTCGAATGTAAAATCTCGATCTCGAATCCATAGGTTACTACTACTGTTTACAAAGTATTATTAGAATTGAAATTTTGTAGGATGAGGCGATGGGCTTGGTGTTGAGCGCCGCCTCGGTCAGAGGCTGGACCACTGGTTCCGGGATGGAAGGGCCGTCACTTCCGGGCAAGGCCGATGCGGAGGAGACGGTTTCAACATTTCCTTGGTCACTCTTCACGAAATCGCCTCGTAGGCGTATGCGCGTTGCCTTCACTTGCAACGTTTGTGGCCAGAGGACTACACGAGCTATTAATCCCCATGCTTACACTGACGGCACCGTTTTCGTGCAGGTTGAAAAAAAACACAATTTCAATTACAATTAGTAGCAAAGTTACGGACTGAGTAAGTAAATAATAATATTGATGATGCAGTGTTGCGGATGCCATGTGTTCCATAAGCTGGTGGATAATCTGAACTTGTTTCATGAGGTGAAGTATTATGTGAGCTCCAGCTCCAACTACCAAGATCCAAAGTGGGATGTTGAGGGCTTCAATCTCTTCCACATGGATGACGATAATGTTGACGACGACCACGATGGCATCTTCCCTCTGTAACTAGTGATCAATACTTTGTGCAAACGAGTGTCGTATATCTGTATATACCTACCTTTATCCTATCATCTCACGTTACAAGTATCCCACTTCCCATTGATAATAAATTGGTCATATATATATATGTATAATCCGGTATTGCGTCCTTTGTATTAGAATGACTTGATATCTAGTACATAGGACCTCCAGTTTCTTACGAGATATTTGGATTATGATAATGAAGCTTACCATTTTCGATTTTGGTTTGGTTCACGTATGGTTTAAATAATCTAACACAGGCGTTTTTGTGCTATACTAAAAAAATGACTTGGCGACAGCTCCGGGAGCATCATCCACCTGTTACATGAAGCTTGATTGTCTGGTTTTTCTCATCCTCTACCCAAACATGCTTGAAATCATAGACAAGTTGGCTACTTGAATGGGACATTGATCAACCTTATCTTATGTGTGGAGAGCGTGATGAGACTTGGGGTCACCTTTTCTTTGCGTGTATGTACTTGTTTGCTCTACAAACATCACGCTGGACAGCCTGGACTGGGATAGATCCAGTGGCGGAGCATGGAACAGAAGCCACTAGGGTTGATAACTTATATATGTATATAAAATTGGCTATTTATCAGAGGGTCAAACTACTGAGATTCAACCAATTGCTCAAGATATATTGCACTTTTATACATACTTCTTCAACGATTCGGCCACTCTCCAAACATTGATTTCGTCGAGCTGAAGCATTGATTCTCTGCCTTGTCTTCCAAGCTGCAGACTGCAGTGTACTGAATATGGAAAGAACGAAACGGGAGAAGACATTAAAAGCAACCTCACTCATGATTCAAAATGAAAATCGAATGCAACTCTCAAATCTTTCATCACAGCATGGATAAACAATAGAACTCCTCGCCATTTGGGACCTCACTTGCCAAACGTGAAGTGAAATTATTAAAACCTCAATTTTTTTTCTCTTTCAAACAGTTTAGCTCTGATATTTTATACTGTCAGCTTTGATTTTTTTTTTTAATCTAGTTACAACAGACCTCTCTAGGTCTTCGTAAATAAACCAAAATTTTCTTTGTTGATTAATACAATTTCACATTTTAACAAAATTTTATTATACAAATATGAGACTATTGTTTTTTTTTTATAGTTATACATGAACAGAAACAGTCTAAGTCTTAAACCTTAACCTTAAATATATGGTGTCTGTATCCTAGGGCAGCACAACGAGCCAACATGCTATTAAACAACAACAACAACCAAAATAAACATTATCTTTTTTTTTGAATATATGTTAAATTTACTCAAAAAGAAAAATACACTGTTTTGCATCTTATGCTACATGTTCAGAAATAAAAAATTCCTAAGACTTTGTGTTATCTGGTGGAGAGCCACACCCCCAGAGCTGCAGCATATTTGAAATCACCAAGTTGTCTAGAAGATGGACATCTATTGCGAATTTGTCTGTCCAGCATACTAACCAATACATGAGCTGTTGTAGGAATAACTCCATGCCTCCTATCGTTTCTTTCTCGCCAAATTGAATGAATCGAGAGTTGGAGAGTATATCTGATGAGGAATGTGGTGAGCAAGTCTTGACTCTTGACTGTTGTCTTTGATAAGTTTCACTAACTCTGTCCAAACTGTTGTGAAATTCCCTCGGAGAAGGTCTTTAGTCAATTGAGACCAAACATCTACAGAGAAAGGACAAGAGAAAAACAAATGATCCCGAGTTTCCAACTGATTGCAGAAGACACAAGCTGGGTTTCCTCCCGAGGACCAGAGGAGCATGCGGTCCCAGTTGCGACCACAGTCCTTTACACCAATCAACACTTTGTACATGTTGATGGATTAGACTACTGAAACTTGGTTTATACACATCAGGAGAACTTTTGCAGACTGTACAATCTTCACCATTTGAAAGCTTAATTCTCTGTTCTTCCATTCCGGCTTCAATCTGTTTAGAATGTCTACTCTGTGGTGTCTTCTTCTTCTTCTTGAAAGTAATGCTGATGAAACCATAGCAGTCAAGCTGACCCCCAGATCAATGCATCCCCGAGCACCCGTAATATCGTAAAGACATCCTAATGGTGACCATGAATCAAACCAAAAAGAGGTCCGGTTACCGTTCCCCACCTTTAGAGCTGTAAAATGGGTGGGATGACCATTGTTTGTCCATGTCCATATGTAAATGGGTCTTATTTGGTTGTATACCCATTTGTCCATATGAAAATAAATGGACAAAAATTATTAGACCATTGGACAATGGGTGTTAATGGTTTTGGACAATATGGACATGGTCTATCCAATGGTTACAAAAAATTAGGATTTTCAAAATTTTGTCATTAGATTTTTCACCAAAAACACAAAATCGAGTTTTCATTAAAATCGCAAAATCGAGATTTTTTTCCAAAATCACAAACTCAAAATTTCCCGCCAAAATCGCAAAATCGAGATTTTTCACCAAAATCATAAAATTGACATATTCCGCAAAACTGAGATTTCCCGCTAAAATCATAAAACTCGAGATTTCCTGCAAAATCGAGATTTCCTTCAAAATCGAGATTTCATGAAAATCGAGATTTTCCGCCAAAATCGCAGAATCGAGATTTCTCACCAAAATCATATAATCGACATTTTCCGCCAAAATCGCAAAATCAAGATTTCCCACTAACATCGCAAAACTATGAGTGGACTTTAAGTTGTGAACTTATATTTGTAGATTGTAAACTAAAATTTAAAATTTTCTTATATAGTCTATTATAGACTCCATGGCAGCCCATATAAATATGGGTGTTTGTGGATTTGGTCATTAATTGACATGGTCATTAATGGTATGGTCATTCTTTGTACATTAACAATAAATGGATAAATGGATATGGGCTAATGGACATAGGCGTGCCTATTTTGCAGCTCTACCCACCTTCATCTTATGAAACTCCTTTGCAAGATCACTGTATTTCAAAAGCTTGCGCCACATCCAAGAGCCTGCAGTTGTTGTATTTTTTATAGACCAAATTGTGTCTTCCTTGATCAGATACACTTGGATCCATTTGGTCCATAACAATGGTTGCGCAGACAGAATTCTCCACAACAATTTTAGAGTGAGAACTTTGTTCATCTCCTTTAGTGATCTGAGTCCCAAGCCTCCTTCCTCCTTCTTGCTTGGGAAGACAAACCACATCCCATGATACTTTTGCTTTCTTTACATTCAAAGAAGGGCCAGACCAAAGAAAAGCAGAGCGGAGGCTATTGATCTCTATGATACATTGCCCCAGAAGTTTAAACCCAATCATCCAAAAGTTCACAATACTCAGGAGAACATATCTTATCAGTTGCAGCCTACCTGCCATTGATAGAAACCCGTTTGTCCATAGAATTATTCGCTTTTTTATTTTTTCAAGAAGCACCTGATAGTCTTCCTTTCTCATTTGGCGAGTGAGCAGAGGCAGGCCCAAATACCTGACCGGTAAAACTAAACTGATCAAAAAGATCTTGACGACTTTCTTCTGACATACCAGCATAGTAGATGGTTGATTTCTCCATGCTTATTTGTAGACCTGATACCTTTGCGAAGTAGTTTAAGACTGCCACAATACTCTCTATTGATCTGACTCTTCCATCTGTGGATACCATTATGTCATCAGCAAAGCTGAGATGAGTAAGTCCTAGATTCTTGCCTTTCGGATGGTATCTGAATTGATGTTCTCTCGCTGATTTATCCAGAAATTTAGACAACACATTCATGCAGATGACGAATAGATATAGAGAGAGAGCACAGCCCTGTCTCAGACCTCTTTCACTCTGAAAATATCCAACCAATTCACCATTTACTTGCATTTGGAAAGACACTGTCGTAATGCAAAGAGATATCCAATGAATGAGGAAGTCGACGAGTATATGGGAACTGTGTTGTTCCAAAACTGCAACACCATCAGCAAAAAAATTTCAAGCTCAGCAACATCATTGACAAATTTAAACGGTCTCTTAGGATGACTAATCTCTGAACTCAGATTAATCCTACAACGTAAGTGGTCTGAGAATCCTCCTCCTTCAAACACATTGTACGATTGTGGGAATGAACTAAGCCAGTAGTCATTAAATAGAACTCTGTCAAGCTTCTTTGATATTAACCCTTCACTCCTCTTATTATTCCAAGTATACAGCAGTCCATGCGATGGGAGATCAAGGAGAGAATAATGTTGAGTAACACTTTGAAATTCACGCATCCCTTGCGTTATTATCGGATTTATTCCATACTCTGAGTGCTCCTCCACGTCCAGAGTTTCATTAAAATCTCCTATCACCAGCTATGCTTTATTTCGAAAATAGGCGAGTTGTGGTGATTCTGTAAATCCTCCCACAGTATGTGTCTTTCTTGTTCTGTATGTTTGTGCATAAACAACAGAAAGAACAAATTCTTCAGCCCCACTACTGAGAGCTACCGAAACCGTGATCACTTGATCACTTTTAAACACTTGAGTTATTCTTACATCGGATCGCCACACCAACCAGATACGACCTAAGTGATTATACTCATAGTTAGATAACATAGACCAGCTACCAAACACTGAAGGAAATAACCTCTGACTCCTTCCCTCTTCAACTCTTGTTTCCAGCAGAGCACCAAACTTAAAGTCTTGCTCCCTGATCCATTTTTTTACAACATAATATTTTTTTCTTTTTTTTTTTAAAACCTCGAACATTCCAGAAGAAGCCTGACATGATTAGTTTTTCTTTTGATTCCTCTTTTTTTCTCCAACACTTGGGACAATGTCCTTTGTGCTAAAAGAGCGATTCTATGAGTAGTACCACGAGATGGTTTTGGAACAGCTGAGCGGAGAATTCTCTCTTCTCTCTTTTCAACTTTCCCATTCCCCTTATGTCCTATGAATTAACTTCATCTTCTTCAACAACTTATTTTGTTGGATCAAGAGGAATCTCACCCTCCTCGGTATCTTTCTCAATGATATTGCTATCATTTCCTTCTTCTGTATCAGCTTCGCCGGTTTCCATTGCTAAAACCGCAAAACGTGATGGTGAACATGATCTTTACCACCTGATGTTCCGAACTTTGAAGGAGAGACATGTTTCAAATCTGAATCCCCTGCGTTTCCATCACCTGCCTCTGTGTGATGGTCTGACTCTGTTTCATGATTCTTTTCCAACTCTTTATTTCCCGATGCACACCTTCTGAGTTTAAAGCTTCCTTACCAATTTCTCCTGATGTTGTCGAGTTACCATT